CTCTGTTACAATTCTGGTGATTAGTGTATCTGCTCTTACAATTGCGATCATACAAGATTTTTTTTTTTTTTACAAACGCATACCTATTATCTTTAATCCTCGTCTTCGTCTTCTGTAACTTCGAGAAGAATCTCTGTGTCAATGTTGTCAATCACATTTCTAATTCGAAACTGAAGCTTATTTAAAAGCGTGTTTGGCATAGCAAGAATCACTCCATGTTCTTTCGCCACCATGATAGCTTTCTCAGTAAATCCAATATTCGTAACTATTACTCCTTGGACATCGTACATCCTACTAACGGCCGAAGTTCGTTCAACGTCGTTGTAACGGACTTTTCTGACATTACACCATTTACATGTAAGGAGAAAGTGGACATAGAACACTCGATCATTCAGAATCATATCTTTGTCGCGATCGTTAGACACTGTACTGGTGGTGAAATGTTCGTTTATTTCATACTCTTCTTCTACCAAATCACGCATCTCGTTCTTAAAACGCAAGTGTGGATTTTCAGTAACATTCTAAAACAAAGCAAAGCAAAATAATATTAGCACATCGTGCCATCATCGTGTTTGGGGTCTCGCCACTTTCGAGCCTACTCGCGCTGGACTCCGCAAACCGGTCTACACGGGCGATTCCTGTAGGGAAACGGCCACGTACAGGCTCACTCCCGCAGCGTAACTTGCACCGGCCGCTCACTCGGCAGGCAATGCCAAGTGGATTCGCATAAAGAATCTCACCTCTTCTACCAGATTACGCATCTTGTTCTTAAAACGCAAGCGCGGATTTTCAGTAACATTCTAAAACAAAGCAAAGCAAAATAATATTAGCACATCGTGCCATCATCGTGTTTGGGGTCTCGCCACTTTCGAGCCTACTCGCGCTGGACTCCGCAAACCGGTCTACACGGGCGATTCCTGTAGGGAAACGGCCACGTACAGGCTCACTCCCGCAGCGTAACTTGCACCGGCCGCTCACTCGGCAGGCAATGCCAAGTGGATTCGCATAACGAATCTCACCTCTTCATTCCTGGTTGCATTCATCTTGGGTTGTGTATTGAATTTTTAGTTTCTTATGTTCGTTATTTAAAAAAGTGTAATGCTCAGGGAAAGCCTGTAAAAAAAAATTAACGTTATCACTACCGCTATATATACGTTAATTTTTATTTATAGGTTCTCCTATACAATATGATATATAGAGTGAATGGCATGAGGTAAAAGGGCGTGCCCAGGAACGCGATGTGCCCAAAGCCCAAATAGTCAATAGGCATGCAGCAAAGCAATACTGGAATACTTATTTGGGTAAATAGACTAGGAAAACCCGTTGAAGGGGGTTTTCCATTTTGAGAAATAGTGATTATTTGTCTGTGAAAGCGAAGATAATTAATATTTATTGAATTAACTTTAGGGTTAGATTAGGTTTAGATAGTTATATATATGTAAAATTGCCTTTACGACATTTTTGCTTAACCTACCCAAGGCAGGTTTTGACTCACTGCTTCGCCGGCGATTATCAAAATTCTATAATTTGATTGGCTGATGGGCACATGATTTATCCCCGCTTTAGACGATCTCAATCTTTGGTTGTCAATCTATTTTTAGAACACGAACGTTAAAAAATTGTTATATTCAAATTAAAATATCTCGATAAATTATTATATCAACGTATGGAAAGACGGGTAGTCCATGCTAAGTCCATGCCCATTGTGCAAGTGATACAACCCCAAAAAGGAAATTTAACATAAAAAATAAACCAAGTTCGTGAAATTAAAAATTTAGGGGTTAGAATGTTAAAGTTAGATGTTATAAAATAAATATTCACTTTTTATATTATTTCCGTTAATTAGTGCCCCAAGACAGGTTTAACACTCGTTTTCTTGTATTTTCGCTTTTTTCATTTTTTTTTCGCTTGGCCTGACCCGGGGTAATCATCCAGAGAGACCATCCCAAATTAGGAAATATTTACATGAGCCAATTGATAAACAAAAATTTTTTTTTTACAATAAATTTTTGTTATGTGAAAAATATCACATCCCGAGTAGGGTTGGGGGCATGGGAAAATATTCGGGCATGCCCCAACAGGGGTGAACGTTCGTGGTTACACAAGCTGCAGATCACTTCGGAGAAGTGATGACCAATCAAAAACGGTGATT